GTTCCGGGTGGGGTTCCGGGTGGGGTTCCGGGTGGGGTTCCGGGTGGGGTTCCGGGTGGGGTTCCGGGTGTTCCGGGTGGGGTTCCGGCTTTTACAGACACCCATACATCAGTTTAATTGAAGTATAGCACTAAAGAAATTATTTAAAGGTGCTGTCAAGTCCGTAATGTAAACAAACGCTTTGTTTACATTTCGAACTGCTATATTTGTAAAATATGATATGCTAACTGAATATATAACACTGTTCTGGTTTGGTATGCTCGTAGATGAATATAAACCAGAGTTTCAATTCAGAAAAAGTTCAAAAGATGCAAAATTTGGGCAATGTTTACATCTGTTGGTCCCCCTTTGTTATGAGCAGAACCGATGCGCAGAACGGACTTGACAGCATCCTTAAAATATAGGGAAGATGACGTTGTTCTGGATCGTTTCACACAGGGCGAAGGGAGAGAGGGCGTAGAAACGGCCATATACATCGAGCGGACCCATCCGTGATGCGGGCTTCGCGGGGGGTAAGACGTTCTAATTGTAAACAAATATGGCTACGCGTACATAACCTGAGTATCAGGCTCTACTTTACAAATAGAGCCTGACACAAAACTTAACCTGATCGCTTTCCACCCACAGCAAAGTTTATATTTAGTATCCAATCAAAATGTCGCAGGAGTTTACCTGCCAGTTTACCTGCAGTTCTTAATGCCAACCGAAAATTTCTTTTAAGATTGAAGATTCGAGTTATTAATAATTCTCAGTGGGACCTACTGTTCCCTCCATCAGGCAACCCGGCTGTTTCCAAAACCTTTGATGTTACATTACTTACAGTTCTATTCAGGAACATTTGTGGCTTACCGGAAACAGGATGGGATGCAATACCAGTGGAAGCAGATAGATCAGTGCAAGCAAATATCGTAAGAATCAAGTCGTATAGAAATGAAGTTTATGCACATGTGACGTCAACTCAAGTGGATAATGCAACGTTTGAATCTTTATGGCAGAAAATTTCCAAAGCTTTGGTTGAATTGAACATTCCTCAGAATGAGGTTGACGAATTGAAAATATGTCCTTTAGGACCTGAAGAAGTATATGTGGGGACACTTAGAGATTGGAAATTACAAGAAGAAAACCTAAAAGATGATGTTAGGTCTATCAAACGTTCTGTAAATCGTTTGACACAGATTACAGAAGATGCATTAAAGCAAATCTGTCAGTCACGTCTGGAGCAAGTTCCTAAAAATGGCAATCGAAACAAAGAGAATGACGAAGATCTCTTGGGAAAACTCGCAAAGCATAATTTCAAGAGTAAAATTAGAGGTAAAGTCAAGTTTTTCCTGCCTGGCACAAGACAGTGGTTATTAAAGAATGTGGACGAGTGGTTTATTGGGGACAAACACGAATCGAAAATATTTTTATTGACTGCTGGGCCAGGGTTTGGCAAAAGTGTGTTTGCAGCTAAAGTCTGTGAAGATTTTAAAAAGAAGGGAAAGCTGGCAGCATGCCACTTTTGTGACTTCAGTGATTCAAACCTACGAAATCCTATGATGATGCTTCAGTCTCTCGCGAGTCAAATGTGTGAAAATGTCGTAGGTTTTAAAGAAAAGCTTCTTGATCAGTTGCAACGACGTCATCAAGTCCGAAGCCTAAAGGATGCCTTTGGAATATACTTGCAAAACCCACTTGATGAATTGGAAGCAGAAGAATCCAGTTTAATCGTAATCGATGGCTTAGATGAAAGTACAGCGGATGATAAGAATGAAATTGTGAATTTAATTGCTGATTATTTTCCAGATCTTCCCGACTTTATAAAGATCCTTGTCACCAGCAGGCCGGAGATTTCAGTAGCAAAACTAAAAGGTCTTAAGAAAATCAATATTAAAAGCAATGACGCCGACAATAACTCAGATCTTGAAATTTACCTTAGAGCTTGTCTTCCGAGTTTGCCTGACAGGAATGCAGAAAATGGTCCAGACTTGCTTAAAACGCTTGTTGAGATATGCGAGGGTCCATTTTTGTATGCCTTTTACGCTCAATATGAGCTACAAAAACGCGATGATCTTGATAAGATGACGTTTCAAGATGTTACTGATTTTCTCCCAAAAGACCTCGATTCAATTTACCAAACATATTTTAAACGCTTCGAAGACGAGCTTAAAGTCATAATACCTAGAAACTTTGATGTATTAAGAATCTTGGAGATGCTCGTTGCTTCAATCGGATTTCTTCCTCTGACTTTCTTCACTCAAGCTCTTGGTTTGGGTCCAGACTGTCGCGAAACGAAAAACATCATTAAGAAAGTCAATGTGACGGTGTCGTGCTTATTGTACGTTTCTGATAATGATCTGATAACCGTTTTCCACTAGTCTGTTATTGATTGGCTTCTAGTAAGGGGCTACCAGAATCACGAGTATGCTGTCCAGATCAATGGTGGAAATAAATCAATTTGGCTTATGTGCCAACAAGTTTTTGAAAAAATGAAGGAACAGGTTTTCTCCGGACATGACCTAGACTTAACGAGTGACAAAACGTGCGCTCTTTTGTGTGGTCTTCAACATTTAGTGACATGCGATATAAAGGAGAGTTTTTTTTGGTTGGTGGATGTAGTAATAATACACCTCCTTTTAATTATTTTTAATGATCAATCCGAGATCGTTGGTCATACGTTGTACCGTGTTGATGCGGATATAGGCGTCTTCGTGTTGATGCGGATATAGGCGACGAACTGCGAGCAAGAATTTCATGGCATATCGTTGAAATTGAATTTATTATGAAAAAAGAGTTTAGATCACCGTCAACTATAGCTGATTACAAACTTTTACCTTACTTCTATTTGCAAAGTATTGTAACACATTCCCCCAAAGGCTATTTCAGTGATAGCGAGAAGAAAATTGCAGAGTCAATTTTATCGAAGATGTGGTTTGTAGGTATTAATTCTAATCATGAAGTGGAGGTTATGCCGCTCGCAGTCCGACGTCTCCCTTCAACGCCAGAGATTAGAGCCGTTGGAGTGTTCTTCGATAAAACATTGGCAGCGGTGGCTCAGAAGAGTGGAAAAATCATTTTGGTACGTGTGCCAAGTTTAGTTGAGCTTTGGCAATATTCAACTGAATACAGAAGTATTTCATGCTGTATATTTGCTCCAGATGATTCGTTTGTTCTATTTGGAAAACTGGAAACTGTACTTAACATTACTGAAAGAAAGGAAGTGCCATTTTTCTACGGAAATAAAGGGACGTTTGTGTTGTGTGCATTTTCGCCGAACGGCAAGAGACTGGTAACTAGTAACGGTTCTAGAACAGTTAAGTTATGGGACGTTGATAAGCAATGCTTGCTGTCGTTGCTCTGTGCTGAAAGCCGTGTTAATTGGTGCTCTTTTAGCAGGACGGGGTTGTTTATTATTGGAGACAGGATATCTGACGTTGAAGACTTGGAATCTGATGATGAATTCGAAGGTTTTTTCACTGAAGACTGGGAATCCCATCAAGACGGTTGTACCTTTGGGAACTCAGAATCTGACTCAGAATCTGACTAATTCTCCTGCGAAAAACTTACTACACGGAAAATATTCTGGCCGTGGATATTCGTTCTATGTTTGGAATACCATTACATTGCAACGGAGTGATGAGCGAATCTTCGCTAAGCCTAGAGAAGGAAACACACTACAAAGTAATCTATGCAAATGTTGTTTCCCTTCAGCATTTGAAATTCTACCACCGATCGTGAGATATTATAATAATTCGGATCTAGAATTCTGGCAATCATGCCAAACCTTGTATACAGGAATCTACAATGGTACCAGGTGTACTTTTGCTTTAGACAGGAAATCTTTCGTTGTGATAGAAAACGCTCATTTCACTTGCAACTTGGAACTTTTTCGTCGATGATTGTCGCGATTCCGAGAGTTGGGATGACGAATTCGAGCGGAGTGGATTCAAAGGCAGCAGACAAATAACTGCGATTGAAAATGATTATTGGCTTTACGCAGATGTGAGAAACTTATTTGTCTTTAGGACAGCAGTAACGACATGTTCTACAAGAGTTCTTTGGAGTTCGTTTTCTCCTGATGGTTCCCGACTTGCAACTTGTACCTCAAATGGATATATCAACATATGGAATGTCAATACGGGACAAACTGAGCAAAGTTTCAAGACAAATCAGGAAAAATCTATACTTGCTTGTTGGTGGTCGGAAAAGTTTTTGTTCGTGTTTAATTTTTGGGACAGCATTGCCAGCTTATGGAAATATCCGGTGGACGTTCATTTAAAGATCCTTTTCTCCCAGAGCCAACAAGTATCCCTGCGTCATTTAGTAGATGAGTTTGTTTCCTTATCAGTAGTCGTTGATTTTTCCGAGGGATATCTTCGCTACCAGTGCGGGGAGACGAAGCCTGCAAAAGTACTTGATGTCAACAGAGTCCGGGAACCGCGAATGGTGACCTTACCTGGAATCAAACCTATGATGAATATTACAGTTTCGCCTGGTGCGTCCTTTCTCTTTGGTGCTGCAAAACTTATGTTTTACATTTGGAAAAGAAGTGCAATGGAAACAATTGTGTATGACGTTTTTTTATTCATCAACCAAGTACAGTAAAGTCATTTTATCCGCACGGTTTTGTATCCTGCTTCAGCAGCGATTGTAAAGTTTTAGTTGTTGCGTGGGACGTCGACCACCTGGTCCACATGCCTGGTTGTCTATTAATGCATGGTGAAATTATTTGCTTGGATACTGGTAATCTCAAAAGTGTATTGTTTAATTGTTTCTATTCGTATTTCAAGCTGTGTTGTATTTACAAAGAAAGAATTGTTATCGTTCCAACTGATCGTTTCATACGATTTTTTGACATGGACTCTGGTGCGCATCTCGGGTCTTCATTCGAACACTATTTGGCAAGGGATTTGGAAAGCCAAACAAAACTTTCTCCAAACGGGATTACGCTAGCTTTTCCTAAGATAAATGGCAATATGGAGTTTGTTCGACTATCTATTCCGCAAAAGCAGCGTTAAACAGCATTAAGCGTAAGGAAAATAGTGGATGGTATTATCTAAAGTCACGTTTTGAACGGTAATGGAGTTTATTTCAATTACTCTTGGCCTTTAAATTGTTGCGTCATATATAAACATACACCCAATGAAAAAGAGGGGGAAACAAGTAATGCACAGACTGTATGCATTAAACCAGCGGTTCACTTGACATTTTTTCACTTGGCTTTTAAAATGTTACATATTTTAGACTAATCCAAGTCAGTCATGCTGTATGCTGTATAATTGGACCATATCTGAATATGGCCTATACCAATGAACTAGGTAACCCTTTCAAAGATTCCTGCGGAGAGGGCTGCCAACGACCGCACAGCCAAAGAAATTGTAAAAGAACAACAGATTGTCAAGTTTGAGATGAAATCCAAGCTATTTTGTCTTCACAGCTCATTGCTACATCTCGTCATTTTATACAATTTATTGACATGGACTCCGGTGCGCTTCTCGAGTCTTTCTTTCAACGATATCTGACAAAGGATTCAGTAATCCAAACAAAACTTTCACCAAACGAGACGGTATTACAGTAGCTTTTCCTAAGATAAACGGCGATGTGGAATTTCTTTTACTGTGTATTCCGAAAAACTTTTTGTTGTCTAGTATTAAGGAAAAGGCAGCTGTAGAATGGGGTGATTATAGGAAAGAGTTCGACCTATAAATGCCAGTGAAGTGCGTTTCTGTTTCTCTTGCCATAGTCAAGTTGCCGCGTCATATTAAATCCTGCCCGCAATGAATAACACATGATATCGTAGATCAACAATGCACTGACAAACTAGCGGTTCACTTGAATTTTCTCGCCCATCCTCTTTTCCCTCCTACTACGTTGGTTATACCTATCCAACAGCATGAAAAAATAACTTGAGTTATCCGAAAAAGAAAATTACCGGCATATACGAATACCAGAGAATATGCGACCAAAAGAAAGGGTAAAATTAAGGAACAACAAGTTGTCAAATTTGAAATCTAAAATTCTTGGTGAGGTTATTATGATGATAATGATGACTCCATGATCAATTTTCAACATATGAGCGTTCAGTAATGACAAAACAGTGTTATGAAAAGATTCTTTAGCGAAAACGTTAATGAGCATTTGGTGAACCATCGTCAAAGACGTTATTTTTGGGCAGCGGCTAGACTTTGCTTTGAGCCAGTCTAGAATAAAGAAGTAAGACATCTCTTTCCCTCCGCTTGTCTGGGAGTTCACCATGGGCAAGTGATAGTACTCCCTTGCCTCCCTACCTAGGGTTACAGTCTCTAACCATAAGGTTTTTACCGTGAAAAGATAATAGAACATTGTACTTTTGAAAGATGCAATTCATCAAATTACCTCACCGATGCCTGATAATGGGGGCGGTGATATTTTATTTACTGATAATGACCTTATGTGATGATGTCACAATGGTGGTGGTGGTGGAAAAATTGCTCTAACTTGTAATATGATGCTCATGCTTATAATTACAATGATGATAATAGTGGTGATGATGCTAATGGTATAATGGTGTCGCTGGTAATAACACTAGTGGAGGTTGTTATGATTGCAGTTTTGGGAGTGGTTATTTTTGTGATGAAAGTGGACGTAAGATGAAGTTGAAAGTCCTTGAATGTCCTTGAATTTGAAAACAAAAATTGAACGACCTTAAATTTTTCTCACTTTAGTTTTTCGATATTGTTTTGAAATTGTTTGACATTCAAAACAGACATTTTGTCAAGGGTGGGTTGACTACAAAATTTTTGTAGTTCGCTATAACTTCAGCTACTTCAAAAATATGTAGTCAGCTACAACTACTGCTACTTTTGAACAAAGATAGTTCACTACTGACTACAGCTACTGCTTAAAAAATGTAGCGAACTATTTCGCTATTTCGCTACTCTATATTTTTTAGTTTTACGGTATTTGGAGCATCCACTAACTCAGGCTGTAATATAACCTATAACAAATCGACTTACGAGTAGTAACAGTAAACAAAAAGGGTCAAAGCAACATTTTTGTAAGCCCTACGGTGTTCAAGAGTGCCATTTTTCATTGCGCTAAAATAATCTTTACTGTATAAAATAATATTTTAAGCAAACCGTGTCTTTATATCATTCCATTCTATGAACGGTTGCTAACAATTTTAAAAAGTAGCGAATAGCGATTAGCTGTTTGAAAAGTAGTCAACTATTTGGCTACTTTTAGGCAAAATGTAGTTCGCTATAACTACAACTACTGTTTTAAAAAAGTAGTCAAAAACTACTGGCTACTTGAAAATTGTAGTTCGCTACAGTAGCGAACTACTACTACTTCGCTACTACCCACCCTTGCATTTTGTTGAATTGATTTTGCATGTTCAGCTGTCTGAAACTCATTAGAGTTGCGTTTTGAACAATTCAACGTCAGATTTTAGTGATTTTTAATCCTTTTCTTCAGTATTTACTCCTTGAATTTGCTGATACATGGCCTTGAATGTGCTTGAATAGTCCTTGAATTTTACTCTTCCTCACATGTACGAACGCTGAGTTGGTTATGATGATGGTTATGGTGACGATGAGTAGTGGTATGGCATGCAGTTGTAGTAATAGTATTGCTGGTAATGGTGGTGATTATTCAGTGTACTGTTGACAGCTGTGATTATAAAATACAAGAATTGAAAATTTGTAAAGGTCAAGGCATTTGGTTTTGCTGGGAAAATTTGTCGCATTTGTCGCATTTAACTTCACTCAGATGATTTAAACATATGTTAGCCTGCGTAGCAGGCGGTGTTCGCGGGCACAAGAGATCCGCGAATACCGCCTGCTACGCAGGCTAAACATATGTGGACGCTTCTTATCTGTTTGTGGAAAGCACCGCTTATACAGTATATATTTTGCAATCAATCCAGTTCTGTCAAGTTTACTTCCATAAAAGCGTTGCAGTCCACAAACAGAAACATGTATTGTTTCCTAAGCAAGAAACGAAGAGTCGTTCCATTGTTGTTTCCACGCAATTTGTACATGGACACTTGTATTTATAATGGATTCCAAGAAGGCAGGAGTAAGATATATAAATATAAAAATAGTGACATTAAATTTTGGAGATAAGCCATCAAATATTACGATGCTTGGCAACTAGTTCGGTTTAAAGTTTAGATGTAAAAGCCATTTTGTCAACCAGTTTGTAATAAATTTAAGATATAATATAAGTATCTTGGGTGTTTCATGCTGAACTGATCAGGTTTTTTTATACCTTTTGACTTCTTCGTGTCACGTACACAGGCGCCTTTGAGGGACCGTTTATTATAAATGAGATTGGAGCTTAAATATGGAGGGGAACTCAATAACTCATGAGGCTTAAGACAACGTAGATTTTTTAAATTATTTTGCCAATGAACTCATAAAATGGGTTGTTTTTAAGCCATTTAAAACAGTCGCAGTCAGTGTTTTATCTGACATAATACATTCGGCTGTCGCATTGTGTTTTATATCTGCAAAAGCACTCCTCCTCGTGTTTTAAATAGTGCATAATCAATGTATATGTATATATTATGAAGTGAGGGCTTCAAAGAGAGGCCTTAAGAAAGTGCTGTATGCCTGTATTCAAAGTAAGCGGTTAGTGCGGAAAGTGAGCCCTTCGGAGAGAATGGTTATTTGACTTAGGGTCCTATTATATATCAATGATTTGCCAAAATATTTAAAATATACTACGGCGGGTTTATACGCCGATGACACACAGATATATGCTTCATCTCATAACTATGATGAATTGGTAGATCTACTGAATTCTGATTTGAAAAATATTAGCAAATGGCTGTCGGACAACAAATTGCAACACCATGCTACCAAAACAAAATTAATGTTTATAGGCTCGCCATATAATATTCGGAACAAAATTGGCAATAAATTGGTGATTTTTAATAACAAACCATTGGTTCGTTTTCGGTTATTTAAGTGTTTGGGAATTGAACTTGACGAACACCTAAGTTGGGAAACTCACATTAACTCAATCTGTAAAAAAGTTAGTGCAGGAATTGGAATATTAAAACGTACTAGATCATTTGTCCCAAATGAAATCTTGCACACCATCTACAAAGCATTAATTCAACCATATTTTGATTATTGCTCCCCCCTTTGGGATAATTGTGGGGCGTTACTAAAACAAAAATTGCAAAGATTCCAAAATAGAGCAGCAAGGGTTTTGACGGGAGCAAACTATGATACCAATTCCTCTGAACTCCTTGAATGGCTCAATTGGAAAAATGTCGATACCAGATTTAAATTCAACAAGGCGGTTATGGTATACAACATCCTTAGAAATGGCACAGCCCCGTGCCTTCGCGAAACATTTTCTGCACGGAGTGACCATAATGTTTATAATTTGAGAGGATATGATACTGACCTCTCAATTCCAAAACCTAAAAAAAAATTTCTAAAAAGGAGTTTTAGATATAGAGGAGCTAACTTATGGAATAGTCTGTCTTATGATGCCAAGAGTGCTCCTACGATTTATACTTTCAAGAGGTTAATCGAAATCGAAAACTAGTACTTTTCTATTTAAATACGTCTTTAGGCAGTTATCAATAGTGTGTGCTGTTATATTGATCTAGTTTGTTATTCTTTTTTTTCCTTTTGTATATAGTGTATTTGGTAAATAGTAATAGTTTCTTCTTGTAAATATATAGTGTAATATAGTCAGTAGTCTTGTTAATTTAGTATAATATAGTGTAGTAGACGCCCCCCATGAAAACCAGTCTGTAGCTGATGGGGCCAGCGTCTTAAAAGAAGTTTTAAATACAAATGCAATACAAATTACATGATCCCCATATATTCGCTTGTCGCAGCATCGAATGTTACCTTTCAAAAACAGGAGCTGATTACATGGGGAGTTTTCAGCCCAGGCTGAAATTAATCCCGGTTAACCAAGCTGAAATTGTTTCACGATTATATGAGAAAGTTCAGCCCGGGATGAGTTAGAATTTCAGTTCCAACCGAGGGGAAATCGCACCCCGGACTGAAACGATCAAGCCTCAAAATGGATCGGCCATTCCGCTTCCTCGAAGAATTTAAAATGTTCTTCATGTCTATCAGTTATTTGACTTCTGCGAGACTGTGGTTGCATTTCAAAATAGAACAGACAGAAATAAAGCCACTTCACGCTGTTTTTTCAACCCGGATAGAAATTTCCCGTCAATTACACGACCATTTTTCAGCCCGATCAACCGGGATGAAATTTTCAGCCCGGGTAGCTTCAACCGGGCTGAAACTTCAACCAGGACTGAAATTTCTGTCATGTAATCGTTTGCAGGTTTGCTGTGTTTTATCCTTAGGTGGGGCTGAAACTCCATGTAATAAGCCACTTAATACTTGAAATTGTGGTTATCGATGATAAAATAAGACGGAAATTGTAAAGGGGGAAAATTTTATGGGAGCACATTATTCTTGAGGGATTACGGTTGTTTCGCCATCTAGCTGTTCGCCAACGTCTTGGGTCGGTTCTTTGTTGGATCCATTTGTCCGCATTTTATCCCCTTCGCCACGTCGGCAAATGCCGTATTTCTGTATCCGTATCCGCTTTTTTAAAATACAGCGGCAACAAACATCGGAACTGATTCGGAATACATCGTCTTGTCGAAAAAAATGAAATAGATTCAACTAGAACACTTCAGTGATTTTTACAGTTCATCGACCTTAAGCACTATTAAAATGTTACATATTTGAATTCTAATTAATAATATATTGAACATTTAATGTCTCATTTGGCTTTTCGCCCTGTTGACAACAAAATCTAAATAAACCTAATATGTTCGATTGCTAGCAGGGTATATGTTCGACGAGTGTTTGTTTGTTTAAGCCATTTGTTTATATCCGAATACAAACTTCGTGGAAGATCAAATTGGCATGATATGGTGGCTCCATTTCCTTTGGCGAAGCTCCTCACTTTGGTGATGCGACAAACTGCGAAGCCAGTCGCAAAGGGTATCAAGTCTTTGGCAAGGAAGAATGCTGTCTTCAGAAAGTACATCTGTGTCCTACCAGCGCAAAGTGAGTGTTAATTATCGTCTATTTTGTACATGAAACCACTGAGGTTAAGTTATTATTTAATACTGATTGACAATTTATTGTGAATTTAATGTCCAGGGTCTCCAGGCGACGTAAATATGTGGTCTGTATAAGTCTCAATCAGTATTAAACCAAAGCTGGGTGATATAAATTTTCCCACTATTTAAAGTCTGATATATATGTCCCAAATTATATTTTTACTGTATAATTGTTACATTTTACTGCCCGTTCTGCTCATATCATCTGGGATTGGCCTGGTAAACTGGGCTTGCAAGTAGCAAGATCTATATGTTTTTACATATTTTCAAGATTTGATTCACATGGGATTATGGGTATAGCCTGGTTTTCTGGGCTCCCATTTGAGTGCGGTGAGATCCCAACTCCCCAGGCTCTGAATATGAATGTGTCACCCTGATAAACTTGGCTGGAAATGATGTCACACTGCATGTTTTGTCTGCCAAAAGCCCCCCAAAAAGTCAAAGTAAGTAAGTAACTAACTAACTAACTAACTAACTATTAATTAAGCAACTTTATTTATTTAAAGAGGGAAGCATGTGACAGCAGCCTTTATTCACTATATAACTGGGTGGGTAATTGCCCACCCAGAAATTGGATTTGCCCACCCAGCCACATTAATTCTGCCCCTGAAAATTCACCCACTTTTTTCCCTATAAAGACAGGTAAAGAAAGATTAATTTTATGTGCCTTTTTTATGTGCTAAATACTTTACTTGGTGATTATGGGTTAAAATCTGCCTTTTTCCCCCTTCACTTTTTGATTCGTAAACGGAAGATTGGAGAACTTTCTCTCAAGTGATATATATGTATATAATGCTCAGGGGCTACCCATTGATTAAACCGGAAATTTTTTGCACAACATTTTACTATTATTTGTCGGTTTTCAACAGTTTGTTGATACATCTACATTTAAGATATCATGATAGAAATTTCTCCATCTTGCGCTTTTGGGTAAAACTTGACATCCGATATTTTTGCAGTCTTAAAGAATTTTTTTTTACTTTTGTCCCTCCCCCCCTCCCCCCGCCCCCAGGTAAAATTCCTTAAAAGACACTGCACGCTAGTATTCCAAAGACTGATAACCTAGTGATAAACAAGTATGTAAGGAATTAACAAAATGAAGACTCATAACACCATTGTGAGCACTTGCTTGTCCGGCAAAGCAGGCCAGCCCGGTGGTTAAATTTTTTGCAGCTGCACCTGGTTAGGCCTAAAATTGCATATAATATTCCACTCAAAATTTCCACAGGGCAAACTAGGAAACATTGTTGCTGAAACATTGTTGCGGAAACATTGTTTCGCCATGTTTCCATGAGTGGGCAAACACTAAGAAACATTAGCGAGAAACATAGGGAAACACCAAATGTTTTTGAATACACCTTTCCCCTTTTAAGTGAGATTTTGATCTAGACAAGTCTGGACAAAAATTTCATCACAGCTTGAAAGAGCACTGCAAAATTAGTAATATTCCGTAATTTCGTAAGGTTGCAAAATGTTGTAAAATGCGGATAATATAGCCTTGCAAAGTTTGCCGTTTTTCAGTCATTTTGTATTACAAACGGGAAATTGATAATCAGATGATCAAACTGATTATCAATTTCCCGTTTGTAATGCAAAATGACTGAAAAACGGCAAACTTTGCAAGGCTATATTATCCGCATTTTACAACATTTTGCAACGAAACTTCGGAATATTACTAATTACAAATTGTGATGCTCTTTCAAGCTGTGATAAAATTTTTGTCCAGACTAGTGTAAATCAAAATTTCACTTAAAAGGGGAAAGGTCTATTCGCAAGGAAACATTTTTGCTGCCCGGGAAGCAAATTTTGTTTCCGCAACAATGTTTCCACGGGTGGGCAAACAGGGAAACATTTGAGGGAACATCGAGAATCACAAATGTTTCCACAACAATGTTTCCTAGTTTGCCCAGGGCTTAAGTTCTATCGAGCGAGAGCCCAAGGTGGTAATGTCAAAGGCTGATCATGTAATGTAAGGCCTAAAAAAATACCTGTGGTTCCGGTTTCATATCGTAATAGGGTTGAATTGCAGCTGCATTCCCTTGGTTAGACAATCTTCTGCTTGAAATTCCATCTACAAAAACCATTCGTCATGATATAGCCTAACATGGCATAATTATGACAGATGAGCATGAAAAGAATGAAAGAGATTTGCCTAACCCTGAGGTATACTCCTTAAAATTTTGCTCTGGGGATTGGCTGTTATCCAATCAGAAATCATGAATTCTTTAAAATAATAATTATTGAACAATACTGTGAATCAGTTTGATTTTTAGGGGGGTTTTATTTCTCTACATCTCTAGCATCCTAGTCCACTGTTTTCTTTTTTTCTTGTGTGTTTCAAACTGCCCTTGCCTCTTAATTATTAACTCATTTATCTGTGACTATATGCACCTAACAATCTATTTCAGGTGTGAGCACTCTCCCCTTGATGAGTAAAGTTATCTGGTGCTAGACAAAGTAAAATAAGAAAGTTGGGCGGATTAGTGCGTAATACAACTCAATGGGTTAAAGGGCTAATTTTATTATTTTGCTCTCCTTGTTTTACTCCAGGTGATATTCGGTCGTTCCAGAAAAGATTCACACTTTCCCTAGTCCCCACAGACAAAGTTTTGGCTGTCTGGAGGGGGTGGGAAAATAATTTGTTTCTGATAATAATAGTAAGTGGGGAGGTATGGATGTTTTCTGGAATGACCCATCACTCATAAAAGGGGAAAGTGTTGGATATTACATGTAATTGTTGGGAGTTGGGACAGGTGTAATGCGCTCGTGGCTGTTAACATGTTGTTAATCGGCACAATGTATACGTAACCTGGACATTTTCCTCATCAAGAGGCTAGGAATTAGTGTTGCGTCTTATAAATGTGTTAACCCATTAAGCTGCAATGTATTCAAATGCGCCCTAACTCTGTCTATTAAATGCCAGCCGATTAAATTCGTCAAGGAGAGAGTCTTGAGCTTTAATGGGTTAACCAAAGAATATACAGTACCGCTCGCGTATATCTTAACATACGATACGCGTATGATACGCGTATGATACGCGTATGATACGCGTATCATACGAATACGCGTATCATAGAATACGCGTATCATACGAATACGCGTATCATACGAATACGCGTATCATACGAATACGCGTATCACACGAACGCGCGTATCATACGAATACGCATTACAAACAAATATTAGGCCGCTATAAAAGTAATAAAAGATGTGATTTATATAGCGCACTGCAAATACGCATATCATATACACGCTATTATAATTCGCCTATTAATTCGGATACAGGTAATCTGCACATACACGTATATTGGGAGTTCTAAACAAAGCTATATACAACACAATATTCAATAAGCATCAACCTATTGTATAGGTGCTGATAATAGTAATAATTGTTGATTAAATAACTTGGGCCATCGCCTGTTTTGTGAACATTACTTTCAGATTGTTTGTAGATACGGAGACAACGCTGTTACAATTTCCTCAGGACCTATATTCTATAGACTATCTAATTAAAACGTCGTGCATGGTGTCTTAAGCGGCAGCGTAATCGGCTCTATATTGTATCGAAGAGAGCACTTACTACCTGAACGGAGTTTTCTTGTAGTGCCTATGCGACAATTTTTTTTATGATTGAATTGCAAAGTTCATTTAAAATCATAATATAACTTAAATTGTTTTCTAAAACTTTGTATTCTTTCCTCTTTTCGACTTTGTTTGATATACAAATGTGACTTAACGTCACACTGCATAATGAGTTTTTAGAAAGAAAACGTTTCCTTGCCAAACATGACATTGAAAGTGATACACTTTAAGAGCTACCATGCAAAGCGATCATTAATTTAAGCGATCATTCATCTGTAAATTTGAGATAATGAGAATTTTAACAAGCTACAACACAGTCTTCTGTAAAACGCATTATGCAGTGTGACGTCATTTAAGTCACATTTGTATATCAAACAAAGTCGAAAATCTTGACATACAGGAAATATTACAAAGTTTTAGAAAACAAGTTATATTATGATTTTAAATGAACTTTGCAATTCAATCATAAAAAATTGTCACATAGGCACGAATATACCGTAGTATATAAGTTTACCATATTATTATACCCGTATATCCTAATATATGCGCGTATCCCGTAATTTTTATGGATTTGGCTTTTTAAAACATGCATGACCGTTTGAGCGTTCCACAATGAAACATACTGAAACTATTAAAGATGTAAATAATATGGTATTGCAATATTGCAATGATTTCAATATTGTTTTGGTTTCACTATACACTACTACAAATAAACATAAATTAGAAACACGTATTGATAAAGAGAATAATTTTATATTTTATCGTTGTTTTGTCTTGACCTGAGTCTGTCAGTTGTCACCATTAGCAATTATAGCTTCAAATCTGTTGTCACTCGCACGTTTTCGCCACATATAAATAGTATAGAAAATGCTTCCAAATTTAACATCCTATAAGCGTCTATCCTAGGTTTAGGGCGTGTATCCTAGGTTTAGTGAAATTGTAATTGTCAGATACACACCTATTGTATTTACGTTTGATACGCGTATATGCGAGTATCAAAATGTAGTTTTGATCGTAGTCGATACGTCGACACGCGTATTCATATGATACGCTACGCGTATGATTGCATACGCGTATTCATTGATATCATATGCGTATTCGTATGATACGCTACGCGTATCATACGCATATGATACGCGTATTCATATGATACGCTACGCGTATGATACGCGTATGATACGCGTATTCATATGATACGCTACGCGTATGATACGCGTATCATACGCGTATCATACGCAAAAAAGTGTTAAGATATACGCGAGCGGTACTGTAGTAACTAAAGGTATCTTGTTAACCCATTAAGCTGCAGTGCACCCAAATGAGCCTAACTTTATTTAATTTACTCTGTCTAATGCCAGACGTGTTTCTCATCAAGGGAATAATCTTGCACTTTAATGGGTTACCCAGACCATAATTTGTAGATTTGCTCGTGACCAATCAGCTGTGATGTACTGATGTGCTTCAGTGCTCCCTACTTTCAAACTGTCATTGTACTCTGTCGAACACCCTGCGAATCCTCTAGCAAGCGCTGGGGGCTTGTTCATTTTGGGCACTTTTCAGGGAGGAACATGTAGTAATTAGAAATGCATTAATAATTAAACCAACAGGAACAACACTTTGCCTACAAGCTCTTTTTGCAGAACACTTAGGCTTAACATAATGAAATTGCCATCTGGTCATGATCCAGGACGTACTAAGGCCAATGGAACTGTAGATTCTGTTTACCGTCCACCGCCCGGATGTGCTTGAAACTACCGCAAGAATTTTTCATTATTCTTAATTATTTTCATTATTCGTCATTATTTTTAATTCTACGCATCGAAACTTTCAAATATATATCAAATCATCAAATATTCGATATAAAAAGCCGTACATCGCTGATGTATGATGGATCAGTCGGCATTTGTTCGGTACACTTGGAAATTCGCGAGTCTGACATGTGCAAATTCGAAAACAATGGCGTAACAAAGAAATTTTCAGCAAGGGAAAGGCCAAAAATGATAAAAAGAATGGTGGACATAAGTGTTGATGATCGAGATCAAAAGAAAACGATTTAAGGATCATTTTTGGTCGGAAAATAGATAATAACAAAAATAATGAAAAATGAATAATGAAAAAAAACCGCATCAGATTTTTTAAATTCTCGGACGGTAAACAGAATCTACAGTTCCATTGGCCTAACGTAAAAACGCGCATGTTGTTCCAGATCTGCACATGCAAACAAGTTGCAACTTACAAGGTTTTTGTGGCCACTGCTTGTTCCCAGTTGTTGTGACAAATCTGGAACGAGTTGTTATCACCTCGTTATAAGGTTGATGATGGTAATGGACTTGCTACAAGTTGTTCCAACAAGACTAATACAGGCTGTTCGTAACAAGTTGCTAGGAGCTTGCTATAGGGAGTGTGCTGTGAAATATCTGTATCTGTATCTGTTCCAACAAGACTAATACAGGCTGTTCGTAACAAGTTGCTAGGAGCTTGTTGTCTCAACTTTTTAACAACTTGTTACGTGCATACGATATCAGACTTTTTGAAACAATTTTATTTGTTACGATACAAGGGAGTATTATTATTATCAACCTTGTCACAACAAGTGCGAACTGCATCTTATTGACGAGAAGCTGTGAGATTTTTACGCGTCGCGAACACTTCCTTGGCCTGGGAGAATCGCTCTCATGAATCAATGCGAAAGGAAATTCGCTCACGCTTTATGAGAGTGTACGTTTCGGTCCAAGGATTGCAAGGATTGTGACATAAGTTTCACCATGGATAATAAAATAAATGGATAGGACTCTAGCTGACGTGACCTAATGTTTTCAATGGGCTGATGGCGTGGTTGCATATTGAAACCTAGTTGCAAACCAAATTCTCAAAAACGGCATGTTTAGCAATAATACAGCTAAACATTTTAGTCAAAGAGCAAATGAATATAACTACGCCATTCTACGATGAAAATCTCTAAGTATTCCCAGTCAATTTTACTGAAATATTTCAAGCACTAAACAGTGAAAAAGGCATCCCAAATTTCGTTAAAATTGGGGACGCCAATTTCGTAGCTACAAAGGTAAAAAAATACAAAACAAAGACGAAAAACATTAACCTTGAATACTTTGTCGTGGCTTAGGCATGTTTTTAAAACAATTAGACCGGTTTATGCTTCAATATTGCTCTTTTAAGGCGGAAAATATAGCGAAACAACAAAAATGCAGAAAACTTTGCAATACGCGTGACGTCACAGATTGCAACTAGGTTGTTTTTGCTTACGTCAGCGAGAGTCCTATCCATTTATTTTATTATCCATGGTTTCACAACAGCTCAATCGTGGCAAAATGGCTCCAGTAAAAGTGAAGATATTTTCAATTCACGCCGTATACAGTAATGCAGGTACTTTTATAATACAAAAGTGTACAGTACTTTCGAGTCCAAAATTAAAAGTTTCGCATACAAGACAATTGGTTCGAGAATCGATGCTACACCCACAAATCATATTATCAACCAAACAAAAAGTTTGGATTCACCGACTTCGCGGAAGAAACCAGCTAGTTTTAAATGTACGCCTCGTGGAAGCTCGCACTGCTTTACACATGTCACTTTTATGAGTCAGTCAATGCTTTAGTCAGTCAAACCCGTGACCCGAACGTCGTAGGTTTTCTCCGGGTACACCGGTTTCCTCCTACAGGGAATGTTAATTGACAGGTTGGGTTGGGATAAGCCCCACACTGGCCCTTCCGCCGCATCTGTGCTCTGTGATCAGAGATGAGTACTCATCAGATGGCTGCCGAAGGCGCCTTTAGAGGGTCGGCACGAAGCTCTAGGAAGATGTTCTGTGATTGGTTGATTATGACAATGACAAAAGAATAAGCTATAGAACGGATTTTCTAAAGAACGAAGCAAAAACAATATTCCTTTTGTTTATGTAAGCCAATTACGTCTTTTGTCATTGTCATAGTCAACCAGTCACAGAACATCTTCCTAGAGCTTCGTGTTTACTGCCTTTAGAAGACTTCCGCCCATACTCAATGAGTGGAGGTTCAATCTGAGCTTCTCTCGATTGTCATTGCTGTTTTTGAATAGCTGGAGGGTTAGTGTCGTACCTTACTATGTGACTACTCACCCTCCAGCTATTCAAAAACAGCATTGACACTCAAGAAAAGCTCAGATTGAACCTCCACTCATTGAGTGTGAGTGAGCTTTTAGAATACGGGCGTTCGAGTCGGCCAGGTTCAGCTGCGAGCTGCGTCCTTCGCAATGGACCATTTGCATTATAGACTAAATTTTGATCTAAACAAAAATTTCATCACAGCTTGAAAGAACATCACACAATTAGTAATATTCCAAAGTTTCGTTGCGAAATGTTGTAAAATGCGGATAATATAGCCTTGTGAAGTTTGCCGTTTTTCAGTCATTTTGTATTACGCACGGGAAATTGACAGCCCAATCGGGTGTTGGGGCATCAATTTTCCGTTTGCAATACAAAATGACTGAAAATTGCAAATTTCGCAAGGCTATATTATCCGCATTTTACAACATTTCGCAACGAAACTTTGGAATATTACTAATTTTGTGATTCTCTTTCAAGCTGTGATGAAATTCTTGTCTAGATCAAAATTTAGTCTATAATGCAAATGGTCCATTCAGCTTAGATTTTAAGCTGCAAGTAAGCATGTTATCACACGGCCGAACTTACTTAATTATCAATGCGTTTTATGATTTCTGTGAGCTTTGTGATTTTCCATCCATAGTGTGAAATGAAATTTTAGGTATTTTAGTCTAGAGGTTAACTAAATTTGTGGAGTTAAGCTAATTCCCTTGTTAACCCATTTAGCTTATCACTGGATGGAAATGAGCGTGAAAATGCGATTTCTTGGCCACAAAGGCATTCCTGAGATTAAACAACTAAACGAACGAAGTGCTGTTGAACTAGGGGCTGAAGCTCTAGGAGAAGCTATTGTTCTCAGTATTTGCATGGCCCTCATTTGTGTTGAGTTCCGTCGCGGCAAGCTCAAAGAAGCAAAGAAAGAGAAAGCACGAATTGATGAAAAGGTTGCATTAAAACGTCAAGTTGAAGAGTTGGGAATTAAAATTGATACATTGTCAGCAGAATTTAAAGGAAATACAAACAAATCTAGTTTACAAAAATTAGCCAATGTCGAACAAACGAAATAATTTTGACCAGGAATGTAGGAAATAGTGTGTTTTTTTAAATTTAATGCATGCATGCATACATGGAATATATTATGTATTTGCAGTAATATCTCCCTAGAAAGAGAAATTAAATATTTATTTTTGTACATGCACGAATGTATCCACATTTGACAATCAGTTTGCATTTTATGCATCTCGTGCAATCAAGCTTCAACTTGTATTCAGCGTGCTGTTAAAAAGATTGCAAAGTCTTTAATATCCAATCGTGCTTATGCAGAAACCTCACTAATGTTTCCTAGTGTTTGCCCACTCTTGGAAACATGGCGAAACATTGGTAGGAAACAATGTTTCCGCAACAATGTTTCCTAGTTTGCCCAGGGCTTTAGTTCAAAAGCAAGAATTGTTTGGCAACGTTTGATATGTCGAATGAGCTGAAATTTTTATATTTTTACAAAAATATTAATGCGATCTGCACAAAATATGTGAACTATTAACATAAAGTACTAGTAGTTACTCAATCGCTCATCAGCTTGATGCTGTCAGCTTGATGCTCTCAGCTTGATGCTGTCAAAACAAGATGAATCGAGAAAATGCCTGGACGATAACAACGGGATTTTTAAGCGGCAATAGACAGATTTAGAAAAGACGACGAGGCATACGGTTAGCACTATTTTCCATCCAGCAAACTGACCTGACGTCATTTTCGGAAGATGGAAGAGGTGTTAAATGGCTATGTAACTAACCCAAACCCTACCCCTACTCTAACCCTAACCACAACCCTAACCCTAACCGAAATAATAAACAAATCCAAAAAGAAATTCGACTTTAGAAAATCGGTAGGGCCAACACCGCGGAAAAACGTCTGCGCATGCACCAAATTATGAAAATATGGCGGGGAATTTGAACATCAATTTCTAAAACAAAAACATGCCTATTAATTGGTCAAAAATTAGTAAAACAAACGAGAAAATATAGCAAATGGGTAGACTAGACATTAATTGAAAGCGTCCTGGCATTTAAAGTATGGAATGAAATATAATTCATGTAAAAAATTGTTGATTTTAACGGACACGGCTTCGAAAATTTTTGCAAAATTATTCAAAACAAAAATTCAAACTAAAAAGTTAAGAAAACTCTCGAAAAGTTAAGCTTCTTAACCCACTCAAATTGTAGAATAAATCCTAAAGTTTAATTATTGTGAACACGAAAATTTTTTATATTTGGCGACACATTTTTTTTAAAGAAATGTATCTCAAACGAAAATTCGGAAATTGTCGTTGCATAGTTGATAAACAAAATGTTTCAGACGATAAATTTGTCAACAATCACCTTTAGTTCATGTTCTTGTACAATACAATTTCTTGAACCTTCTGGCTGTATTTATTTCTAGTTTTTAGAATGACATGTTTGTTATTGCGCTTGAAATCTGGCTGTAAAGACGCACAATGAAGTCACTCCTTTTTACCACCATTTTGAGCCTTCGGAAACGTTCGGAACAGCTTCTCATCAAGTTCGCAATACTATTACAGGTAAGGTTGACGGATGCGCAGACGTTTTTCCGCGGTGTTGGCTTTAATAATTCCCCCGGAGGGGTAGCTGGCCGGGTGTGGGGTTAGGGTTTAGGAGGCGGGGTTAGAGGTTAGGAGGTGGGGTTAGGGTTAGAGGTTAGAGGTTAGGATTTGGGTTTGGATTAGGATTAACGTTTGGATTAATTGTAGACCCATTGTAACCCAATACTTTATTGCATACAATGGCATTACAACGCCAATAAATTATTGGTTACAACGTGCGGAACGGCTGAACATCTACAATTCAAAAATTGAAGCCGTGATTGCAGACTCAGGATATTCCCATGAAATGAGGAGATTCGTATGGTTTCTATATTTCTTAAACACGGTACTTAAATGCTAAGGTAAACCTATTCCAAATACATTTTTAAACTATTCAAATGATGAAAGTTATTGTTGTTTTATAAACGTTTATTAGCGAGTGGGAACTGGGAAACACCAACATGGCAGCCATCTATTGAAATGGGGGTAACCGCTGGGATATTCCTGGCTTCAATTTTACTAAAAGAGATGCGCTATCTAGTCTAGTCAGGCAGATAGAGGCTCACAATTATGGAAAACTTACCATATCTTGGGACAATTCCATTTTGCCTTCACATTGTGCCCTGAAGGCTAGTAAGTTCGTTTCTGTCTGTTGGCCGCGTTAAAATTTCTTATGGGCTCCTGCCGACACGTTTTTCTTCAAATTTTGTATTAAACTAGAGTTTACAGTTAAAAAATGTGAAATTTCCTATACATTTCTAATACAAATGACTTGCATATCAATAGAAAGCTAACAAAAAAACTACATATAAAACATTTAAATGGTTAGTCGGGATTTTCAAGCGGATTTCGAGTTATTGCTGTTTTAAATGTGAAAAATAAGCCAAAATCTCGCAAAATTCCTGGGTACTAGTCTGAAAACACGCATTCAACAGCTCATAACTAAAGAAGAACTTGAAAATCTCGGGTAACCGTTTAAATGTCTTATATGTAGTTTTTTTGCAAGCTTTCAAATTATGCAAGTCATTTGTGTTAGAAATGTATTTAAAATTTCAAATTTTTTAACTGTAATAGAGTTTACTACAAAATTCAAAGAAAAACGTGTCGCCAGGAGCCCCAAAAAATTTTAACGCCGCCAACATAAAGAAACATACTTACTAGCCTTCAGGGCACAATATGAAGGCAAAATGGAATTGTCTCACGATATAGTAAATTTTTTCCTTCTATCTGCCGGACTATATATAAGATATCTATGAGACAGACAGATCAGATACCGAGGGTCTTAATGGAGGGTGGGAAAGGGTATTTTCGCGAGCCGTGAATGGTGAATATTTGTTCGTGTGATTGGATTTTAGTGCCATGAAATGTGATTTGTTCTACAGCCGTGAGGCGTGGTTGTTGATAAAAATGCTCCGTGAAATGAGAATTAAGGATGCTTGCTTCGTGAACTGTGATTATTATAGTGATTATTATAATAAACATGATACGCGATAATCGAATTTATATGATCTCACTCGATTGCACAAGAGTAAAAACTTCGGAGGCCTTTCGCGACAAGGTTCCTGACGCTGAGGACAAGGTTCCTGGCGCTGAGGACAAGGTTCCTGGCGGTGAGGACAAGGTTCCTGGCAGCTGAGGACAAGGTTCCTGAGCGCTGAGGACAAGGTTCCTGGCGCTGAGGACAAGGTTCCTGGCGGTGAGGACAAGGTTCCTGGCCTGAGGACAATGTTCCTGGCGATGAGGACAAGGTTCCTGGCGGTGAGGACAAGGTTCCTGGCGGTGAGGACAAGGTTCCTGGCGGTGAGGACAAGGTTCCTGGCGGTTACCTGAGGACAACGGTTCCTGGCGCTGAGGACAATGTTCCTAGCGCTGAGGACAAGTGTTCCTGGCGGTGAGGACAAGGTTCCTGGCGGTGAAGACAAGGTTCCTGGCGGTGAGGACAATGTTCCTGGGGGTGAGGGCAATGTTCCTGGCGGTGAGGACAAGGTTCCTGGCGGTGAGGACAAGGTTCCTGGCGGTGAGGACAATGTTCCTGGCGGTGAGGACAAGGCTAGTTCCTGGCGGTGAGGACAAGGTTCCTGGCGGTGAGGACAAGGTTCCTGGCGGTGAGGACAAACTGGCAGTGAGGACAAGGTTCCTGGCAGTCAGTTGTCAGCTAAAATTTAAGCCAGTTGTCAGTAGTCAGTAACTGCAAAATGTGAGGACAAGGTTCCTGGCAGTCAGTTGTCAGCTAAAATTTAAGCCAGTTGTCAGTAGTCAGTAACTGCAAAATGCTGACTCATCATTTTTTCATTTTTTGTCAGTTGTCAGTAAAAAATTCAGGCAAATGTCAGTAGTCAGTTAACCTCATTCAGTCCCACAGATACCCATCCATTCAAGCTGCGCCGTTCTGACGAACTCGTACTCAGAACCGTCGAATCCAATTATGAATTTCTTTGCTTTTGGGTACGAGATGTAAGCCCCCACGGTCAAACGAGGACTCTCATCGATTCTCGTCAACTTTGAACTGGTTCAATTTTTTATGAGAGTTGATGAAAGTTTTCGCTACTCGCGCGGGTTTTTTTGTCCAATCAACTCTCGTACACTCTCATTGGTTCAATTCTTAATGAGAAATGAGAATTGATGACAATTTTCGCCACACGCGTGGTAATATCCAATCAACTCTCGTACACTCTCATCATCTCTGAATTGGTTCAAATTTTGATGAAAAGTTGATGAGAGTTGCATTTGATTAGAGTTTTCGCTACTCGCGCGGTAATATCCAATCAACTCTCGTACACTCTCATTGGTTCAATTTTTAATGAGAATTGATGACATTTTCGCCACACGCGTGGTAATATCCAATCAACTCTCGTACACTCCCATCATCTCTGAATTGGTTCAAATTTTGATGAAAAGTCGATGAGAGTTGATTAGAGTTGATTAGATTAGAGAGTTGAGAAAACTCTCAACATGCATGCAACTCTCGCTTCTCAACTCTTATTCTCGTTTGACCAGGCCTTTATGCGTGAGTTGTGGAACAATATATAGATCACGTAAATGTCAAGAGCCAACTCTTGAAAAACGGAAGCAGTTCTCAGTGACAAGAATTTAATACTCGTACCGTGCCAGTAACATATATTAACTTCAGATTGTTTTACTTCATTTACGCATTCAAGTATCATACACGTTTTCTCAGTTTCTATAACACATTGATGTATATTGTGACGTCACGTGTTGACGCTGATGTTCCTGAATATGTTTATCTAGCTTTATTTGCCTCTGAGCATTGGGAAGAATGTTTTGTACATTTGATTCTCAGATATAGTAAAACCTGCCAACGCAGCTATACAGTACAGTATAGTAGGATAGGATAGAACTTTATTTGACTACGTTGGCCACTTCAACGGAAGCTGCTTTCCAAGTGGGGCATATAGATATACGGAATTTTGCGCGCGGACCGGAATTTTTCTTTGTCTTGTCTCCGGTTAGGAACTAATTAGAAAAGACAAAGAAAAATTCCGCTCCGCGCGGAAATTATTAACTTTTAAAAACTAAAAAATCGCGTCGCGTTGTCGAATCGCGTCCGGTGTGTCTGGACCTTTAAAGGCCGTTTTCCATTAGGCGGAATTTTGCGCGCGGAGCGGTAGATGAAAGAAATTAAATAGAGTATAACTAACGCGAGCTCCCAAGGCCCAAGGGAAGCGAAAAAGGGTTCTAGCTACTATAACAATATTTCTCATTGTGCAAATCACCATGAACTGTTCGCAAAGACGAAAATGGCAAAGATACGGCAGCACGCCTTGTGTGTCGGTGTGGGCCGTGGGGGGATATTCAATCCCACAGATCGTTGCAGGGCATGGGGCTGATATCATACAGGATATAAAAATATAAATAAATTGCTGCAAAGCAGAAGATGTCTGTGAAACTCATCAGAATAACAATATAACTCGTTATGTTAGTGAACGTTTATTTAAAAATCTCGCTTTTCACCGTCACGTGTCAGTATTGTATTTTTGCCAAATCCACCAATAGTAATTTCCAATTTTAATACCCTATATTGTTCAAACCACGGTAGGTAACTTTCCTAAAACATTGCTATCGGTTAGTTGGGCAAAAATACAATACACACGTGACAATGAAGCCTGAAGGACCAGATTTATGAATAAACGCTGATAGCGTAGATAATGAGTTATATTGTTATTCTAATGAGTAGTTTCAGTTCGGTTTCACAGCCATCTTCCTTTCGATAGGCTATGGATACACCGATATAACTAACTAGCGGTATTGATTCCAAAATCAATCTGTCTATTTCGATCTGAAATTCATCGTGTTGGCAAGGGGACATTCTCTCCTAAATTTGAAGTAATTTACCGGTATACTGTAAATTATTACAATATTGAACGTAACGGTTCAAAATGAATTGGAAAAAATACCCGATCAAAATTGAAAGTTTCCGGCCGAAGTTTCATTTTTGAGCTAGCCTGAAAACAGACCTACGTTTCGCCCGCCCTAAAATTCGCGGGTCGACCCGCGGCTATTTTTGAGGTGCATACTCTGCCTCGTCCCTCGTCGCTTCAGTTGGGAATAGAGATCAGTGGAAACTACATACTCATGCACCTATCAATGTTAATCCCCAGAGGAGGGGGGGGGGGGGCATATGTGGAGTATTTGATCATCAATTGCATTTTGATGAACCGAATGACTTTTATTAATATAGTATTTATTGCAATTTATTGCAAAATGGTGGGGCATTTGAATTGAAAATTTGCTCAAAAAATCAAATGCCCCACCTATGCCCGACCTCCCCCCACCCCCCCTCTGGGGCTTAACATTGATAGGTGCATTACATTGTCTCGACCAATAAAAAGGCAGAATTCAGATTATTACATTAAACTCAATATTCACTGCTAAAACAATATTGATTCACTCATATCCCAACCTTATACGGACTTCGACACTCAGAAATTTTTGTGAAACCTTGGGTTTGGAAACCGTCATTTTCCTGCTTTTTATTTGCGAGGCTTCAGATATTGTCAGACAGATCGAGACATATATCAAGTATATCATTACATGACATTAAATTCCGTCCAAAGATCTTTAAATCCATGAAAAATTGTCGTTTTTAAAAGCAAAAGTCGCCTGACAATGAAAATAACCCTATTGTGATTGAAGGGCCCAATAATTCTCGTGTAAAGCCCCCAAAGAGAAAGAGGCGCTGTGGTTTTCCTGGGCAGCATGCCAGGTATTTTTCCCTGATCGTGTGACGGAAGTAACACGGAAACAATGGCGTGGCAACTGACCAATCGTGACGCTTCTTGCACAAAACATGAAAGTGGTGTGACAATGGTCCGACTTTGGACTATGGCTTGTGCTATATTTTGCCGATTTTGACAGTTCCACGCGTATTCAGACAAAAGAAAATCGAGTCAATTTATTGTGGATATTTTAATGTTGCTGCGGATAAAATTTTGTTGACAGATCTCGGGTGTGTTTGTAAAGAGATTCGCGTTTGCGTGAATGTATTTCGAAACGTCTGTGATTTTTACGCAACTTTGACAGGCGTCTATTTGAAATTAAACATTCAAGAATTATATATAAATCGTCGTACAAATGGGTTGGGAGGACAACGCCGTATTCTACTTTGTATTTGCTTCTCTGACGTTTTTTGTATGGATGGACATGAGTTTCTTCGGCGAAATGCAAGAACAAGGATTGATTGCGAATTCTACGGTCGCGAAAACAGCAAAAGTTTATTCGAGATTTCCTATCAAGACGGTGAAGATACGAATGCAAGATCACATAAGCCACTACGTCTGGCTGCCTTTGTCCGAGCATGTAGATACCAAATACGAGATCTCAAAGTGCTCATGGGTCAGCCCGAACCTTATAAGCGGCCTTCATCTTACTGTTGCAATAATATCGGGCAGATTGATGTACGAGGAAAACATTTGGATACGACGCGTCGGTTGTATCGTCTTTGAGTTTCGATGCTTTTTGGACGTTTTCGACGGCGTCATTTATAGAGCACAGTCGAACATGAAGACGTCGTTTGTGAACGGTTGGGGCACGTACGGCTATTTTATAGACGCCGCGGCTGATTTTATAGGCTGTATTTTGGTCCTATCTGCTTGTATTTTGTATTTTTTAAAATGTCCACCAGTGAAACGAAAGGAATACCCGAACGACGACGCCGAAATGGCTCTAATGATTGACTATCACGGCAAGTCAAATTGCCAGTACAAGGAAAAAGTTATTGTATTTTATGAAAGCAAGAAGAAAATATTAATAATGATGATAGCATATGGGATACAGATATCAGCCCGGTCATTTTTTTGGGATCATTTCTTACATGAATATCACACACTTCTCGAAGTGAAATCCGATGCCATCTCGCCGGTGAGTAATAAGCACGAAATATCAATTCTATAATCTTTTGATTATTTTAGTTATTTGCTGAAAATTACTGTTGCCCATAAAAGTTTGCGAATTTTATACGATTTGTACACAGACAGGCTCTACTGTCTACTTTCGATTGGGGCAATTTGAAATTCAAATTTTTCAAAAGACGATTTGTACAAAATAGGAAGTATTAAAATGCCGGCTTTATTTACATATTACTTGTGCAATGTAACATGGTCTTGGTAAAAGCGTGCATGTATACTTTATTTGGACACTTGGGGCATATTTATCAATATTTTTGAAATCCAAATCTACTTAGTGAAATTTCACGGTATATTGGTTTGTAATTACAGTTAATATTAATAATGTATGGCTGCGTGGCAACAACATTTTTCTCTTGAATGTATTAAAAAATAGACAGTTTGTCAGTTTATAATCTACCGCATGGTTCTTTATTAATTATAATCTAAATAAAAATCTAGATATTTCGGCTAGCCAGATCGTCTGGTTCATGTTCAGACTAGGAAATTGCCATTTATAGCTATTACTTATTACTGTATAATTATGCAATTAAATATATGCAGATTTCAGCCCCAACTGAAATCGTTTGGCCGTGCCACGATAACTTGTTGTTCAAGCTCCATTCATTCGACACATGAAAAGTTCGACTTGGCTTATGCCTCCAAGTTGCTGATTTTTCAAATACGGCAATTGTCTTAACCCATTGAGCCGCAATGCGCCCCAGTGCGGCATACTTATTTTTTACTTGTCTAACGCAGACAATTTTACTCTTCAATGGCGAAGCTCTGCAGCTTCAATGGGTTAACCAAAAAATCTGACAATGTCTCTAGTTAACCCATTGAGCCGCAATGCGCCCTACTTATTTTTTTTACTTGTCTAACACCAGACGATTCTACTCGTCAATGGGGAAGCTCTGCAGCTTAATGGGTTAATCTTATTGTAAGAAGCAACTGCTATTGACCACGGTTAATAGAAGGAGGATGGTTAGGCTAGCTGGACCACGTGACAAATATGTTATTGTTCTCATTTTATTCATGTCACGTGACGAGATAGGGGGACGCTTCGCAGGAGTGTAATAGAAAATATATTGTTGACATGGCTTTTGTGATGTATAAATTTACGTATTTTCGATTGTATACGCCTGATTTGATCACGGATTTGATTTATACTTCGAAGTTCGGAATGATCTGATCGTATTCACAAGTTTTAAAGGTATTGTTGATTGGTTTTGAGATATAACCACGCTATGCTAAGTGTATATTCACATATTCCATTCTCAAGTGTTCGAGGATTTTCATACTTAAAGACGATACTTTTGGAGTTTGTCCGGGAAAAACTGCTCTGCTTTTGGTCGTGAGAGTTGCGGTAGACACAATGAACGATAAAATACCCAGTGTTTTTAGGACGACGGATGGAGAACAGCTCGAGTAGAATTGCTAAGGCCGCTATTATTAAAGAGATCTGACGTCGGTGCGAACGTATTGATGCGAAACAAACAAACGAAGTAAATTGAACTAATATTACAAACGTATCAGCCCAAATCATGTGCCTATGCAGCATACTTTGGTATTTGCTCTGCCAACAAGACAACTCCAGACAATTTTACTTGTCATTGATAGTGATTTCTAGTTGATGTGTACTGTGTAGTGGACTATTAATTTAAAAGTAACATTTGGAATAGTCAAACTGATATCTGTTATTGAATTTTCAAATTAGTATCCTCAAAAAACCATTATATTATCATGTATGGCATTTCTGCATGTCCAGTTGCTAGCAGTGGCATAGCTAGCCCGACGATTTGGACACGCTATGCAAATTTCAACTCATCATTATTCACTTCTTTAGAAATTATAACATTGTACCAGACTACTGTAACTACATACTTACTGAAATTTAAGACTGTTGAAGAATATTTATTGTCTATCACCATTACATAATCTACACATCAACTGGCAATGCATGCAGATGCACCTACTTTACTCTGTCTAAAGCAATAAAATTTTACTCAGTGGAAGAATACTGTTGTTAATCGGTTATT